TTTTTTTTTATTGTATGAAAAAGGAGAGATTGGAGAATACTCACCATAAAAATTGAATCATTGTTGTTCTTTTTTCTGTTTTTTTTCTTTCAACTAAAATAAACTTTCGTATAAAAAACCACTGTCCGATTATGCGTTTGAGCCACTGTACGTGTAATTTTCGCCTTTATTGAACTGGATTTTTACCCTTTTGATAGTAAAAAATAATAAAATAAAACACTGTTCCTTCTTCCACCTTCGATAGGGCGCCAAACAAAACCTATTCAAAAAAAATTAAAAAAAGAAATTACAAGCAAGCCTCACTATATCAGCTATATATATAACAGCAGTGTAAAGCTGGTTTCAAAAAAATTCAATAAMATCAGTTGTTGTCATCAAATGAAATTACTTAGTGAACACATATACTATATAGTATATTTAATATCCAATCATTGAACATTTTTGAATTGATTTTATTAACTTGCTTAGTTTTTTAATCTGACTATTTTAGATATTCTCAAGCTGGTTCAACGCACACGATAAACAACTATTGTGAAACATCCGACAATTGGACAGACCATGATATGGATATTTACATGGCAAGGAACCCAACAACTCGCAATGGTCTAGTGCCATTATGAGGGCAGGTTTTATTCTCCTGATATTTCTATGATGTATTAACTAAAAACGAGATTATCTGCTAAAACGTTACAAATTTGCCTAATGTTGTAATGAAATGGCGTAATTTTTACAGCCATCAATCGAAATGACATTACGAACATTATATACGGCCATATCGAAACGATATCGGAAATAACTAGTAATAAGAATATTTTAAAGCTGTGAGCACATGATGATTATCTTCCTTTTATTTTCGAAATCATACACACACTGACCGCAATGAAATGTTCCCTCGTATAAGGTATTCGTAATAGCGCTTAATTACACTTCTATGGAGAACAACAAAATTTCTTTTTTGTAATGAAAGAATTTTGTACAAAGTAAAATGTATTTTTAATACAATTACTAGGCGGTAATATATTTAATTTATATAATACAGTCAACATCAGAAAAAAGTGTACAATACTTGTTTACTACATTTTATTTCAGCCTTATACAGGTATGTATCAGAGATCTGCATGCGGTGGCCGTAATTATTGTACACTTAGTAAATACTTCTGCGACTGAACACTGCATTGACTGATACGTGTGATGCTAAAGAGAAAGAAGTGGATGAAGGAACACCAGCGCAAAGCGAGGAGTGTGCATAACATATTGACTTCGGCAAAGAAGTGTTTCAAGTGTTACGCACGAAACAAGCAGACACTTCGTTTGACTTGTTGCCGAAGTCATCAGGCACAGCGTTTAGCTTATTGCCGAAGGCATTACACTTTATTTGACTGTTTTTTACTGTAACAACAATTCAACGACACTTGACTGGTACGCTTATTTCATAATTTCAGTTATTCTGTTGCGCTCGGTGTGTTTAMACGGAATTGAAAACTTGGCAGTTTTGTTTAATATAACTTTGTACCAGAGTACAAGGGATGGTATACTGCCGCAAAGTTCTTAAATATAATAAAAATTACACATCCAACCTGAATCGGCATCCTTGTTGTCAAGACATCAAACATGCAAAAGTTTTAAAAACTATAACAGAAGAAGACAACAACAACGTCGTTATTTCACTCTTAATTGTTTCCGTTATTTCATCTGCTGACTTTTATACCTTTCGCGAAACTGTTGTTGGATCTGGCAGCAAGTCTTTTATGTCTACATTTTCCCCATAGGTTGCACCTATCTTTATAAAAAACTTGACTAACTTTGCGAAGCCTGAGCAACTGATACCATAAAATGGCCTACAATCTTCAGTAACCCATCCTGCGCATGCATCAATGCTTTTTTTTTTTTTTTTTGTCTTCTTCTGTTGCAGTTTTTAAAATCGCTGCATGTTTGATGGCTTGGCAACAAGGATGCCGATTCAGGTTGGATGTGTAATTTTTATTACATTTAAGAACTTTGCGGCAGTATACCATCCCTTCTACTCTGGTACCATCTACTTTCAAAACCTCTGACAATATATTTCAAATGAAACTTCTTCCCTTGTGTTGCAGTGGTAAGGTGTAAACACCATTCGCAATTTGTTCAGTGATAAAAGCTTGTGTATCGGACATTATATAAAATCTATAGAAAAACACATATCCATACATAAAATAACTCATTTATACATACAATGTACAGTACAGAATAACATCATTATATTACTTACTGCTTATTAAATTACAAAGTTATATTAAATAAAACTGCCAAGTTTTCAATTCCGTGTAAACAAACCGAGCGCAACAGAATAACTAAAATTATGAAATAAGCGTGCCAGTCAAGTGTCGTTGAATTGTTGTTACAGTAAAAAACAGTCAAATAAAGTGTCATGCCTTCGGCAATAAGCTAAACGCAGTGTCTTATGCCTTCGGCAACAAGTCAAACAAAGTGTCTGCTTGTCTCGCGCGTAACACTTGAAACACTTTTTTGCCGAAGTCAATATATATATGCAGGCTTAAACTGATCGTCACATGCGGTGGTGGTGTGCGCTTGCACTGCATGCTTTGCGCTGGCGTTCAGTCATCCACTTCTTTTAATGTAAGTAGGCTTAAAGTCAGAGAAACAGCAGCGCATGCCGATCTCTGGTATGTATATAATGTCGCATCGTTTACAAATCATAATTAGAGCAAATGAAAAGCATACAAAGTACTAAAAACACGTTTCCATCACATGTTCTTTTTAACACTTTTTTGACCCCAGAAATATAAAGGATTTTGAGTTTATTGTTTATAACTTGTTTTGTTGTAAGAATTTCGTTTTTGTTTTCCATTAACTTGAAGAGTACTAAGTACGATTTATTTAAAACAATCAATGTAAAAAACAAGTGTTGTAAACACTCTTTTGTTGCTTTTTAATAACAAGAATAATGCAATAAATTAGGAAAAATGGCAATAAAATCCAACGATGATACTTATATTTTTATATTAAAATCTAAATATTTTTAAGATATTTACTTGTTGTAAAATTTTTATATGCGTATCTAAGTTTGTAAGCCCACGCTGATTTTTGTAATTACAATAATAATAAACTTGCAAACGCTTAAATTTATTTTTTTCGACAACTTTAGCTATAAATATATTAATTGAAATATAGATTATTTATTTACTATAGAAACTTATTTCGACATTACCATTACGGAGTGAAGCAATTTTAAAACAGTAAAAAAGTATTTGCAATAGATGACTATATAACTAATAAGTATTAAGTTAAGTGTTAAGTCAAGAAATATCTGATACGTTTTATAATATATTTACATGAAGAAGTGGAAACAAAATTTCCAAGKCACTTAACCGCCGTATGAAGCAAGAATAATCTGCATGGTTAATTTCTGCGCTGTGGAGGAAGAGGATGGAGTCATGTGTAGAAGTTCACGCAAGTGAGGAAAGTTCTCTGATCGCCATTCACTTGGAAGTTGCCAGAAAAGATTCTTTTACATATGACTCAAACAGCTCACGACTTCCGGTCCTTGACCAAGTATCCTCTGGGTAGCCTAAGAACATCCGTTTGAAGGCGAGCTAAAGTGAGAAGGCGAAACATTCATTGCATAGGGTTGTGCGTTGGCGCAACAACAGCCTCGGATGAGAGACCACACTTTTGATGACGACCATGGCAAACAAAATAAGGACAACGAATTGAGGGCGTGCACCTGGAATGTGCGGTCCCTTAACTGGGAAGGTGCCGCTGCCCAGCTGGTTGATGTCCTCGTAAAAATAAAGGCTGACATCACCGCCGTCCAAGAAATGCGATGGACGGGACAAGGACAGAGACGAGTAGGTCCTTGTGGCATTTACTACAGTGACCATATAAAGGAGCGCAAGTTTGGTGTGGGATTCGTGGTGGGAGAGAGACTCCGTCGCCGAGTACTATCATTCACTCCGGCGAATGAACGTCTAGCCACAATCCGCATCAAAGCGAGGTTCTTCAACATATAGCTGATTTGCGCCCATGCCCCGACGGAAGAGAAGGACGATGTGGCCAAAGATGCCTTTTATGAGTGCTTTGAGCGCACTTATGAGAGCTGCCCCCGCCACCTTGTCAAAATCGTGCTTGGCGACTTGCCAGGGTGGGCAAAGAAAGTATCTTTGGCACTACGGTCGGTAAATTCAGCCTCCATGAGGAAACAACCCCAAATGGGTTGAGGCTGACTTCGCCGGGGGCCGAAATATGGTTATCTGTAGTACTAGATTCCAGCATAAGAAGATTAATCAAGCTACCTGGTTGTCTCCGGATCGAAAAACGACACGTCTCCAGTGTTTTAGATGTTATTGATAAAATCGGTCTCAACACCCGCGCCGTTAGTTCTGTTTTCTCCAGACTGGACAAGGAAGCAACACAAATGGGTCTGGCAGTGAACGAGGGCAAGACGAAGTATTTCCTGTCATCAAACAAACAGTCGTCGCACTCGCGACTTAGCTCCCACGTCACTGTTGACAGTCATAACTTTGAAGTCGTAGATAATTTCGTCTATCTTGGAACCAGCGTAAACACCGCCAACAATGTCAGCCTGGAAATCCAACGCAGGATAACTCTTGCCAACAGGTGCTACTACGGACTGAGTAGGCAATTAAGAAGYAAAGTCTTCTCTTGACGAAAAAAAACCAAAACGTATAAGTCACTCATAATTCCCGTCCTGCTATATGGTGCAGAGGCTTGGACGATGTCAACAACTGATTAGTCGTAGTTGCGAGTTTTCGAAAGAAAACGTGCGCGTTGGCCACGGCGAATATCGCATTCGATGGAATGAGGAGCTATATGAGATATATGACGACATTGACATAGTTCAACGAATTAAAAGACAGCGGCTACGCTGGCTAGGTCATGTTGTCCGAATGGACTAAAACACTCCAGCTCTGAAAGTATACGAAGCTGTACCTGCCGGGGGAAGCAGAGGAAGGGGAAGACCTCCACTCCGTTGAAAGGACCTGGCTACGCTTGGAATATCCAATTGGCGCCACGTAGGGAAAAGAAGAAACGACTGGCGCGCTGTTATTAACTCGCTATAATCGTGTAAGCGGTGTCTACACCAATTAAGAAGAAGAAGATATAGGGGCTAAGGGAAGTATGAAATGCCTTTATAAGAGAAGGATTATTCCTTAATTTCTGTTATATTATATACATCACATATTGATCGACATTTTCGATCAAAAATCAACTATAGGTACTGGGGTCCACATATCCCGAGCTTGAACAGGTTTTATTGGATTTATACAAGTTTTGGTCACAAGGTGTGTGCCACCTAAAGACATTATTTCTGCAAAGTTTTACCCCGTCATATTAATTTCTTCTTGATTTTTGTACTGGAAACTGAACGAATCAAGTGGAATTAAAAATTGTTGTCCGATTTCATCCATTTTCACAACGTAACATAAGACTTTAAGAAGAATGACATATATTAAATTTTACCCGATATAAAATTTAAAAAAAAAGTGGACGGTGCCACGCCCATCACTCAATTTTCACACCGGCTTCCATAAAGCCCTCATACCATCTCGGTGGTAATATTTTATTTAGAAACACTGTTAGTAGTTAACAGTACCGGGGAGTGAGTGGGGTTATCCTCCGATTTTATCTATTTTCACACTGTCGATAGAAGTTCTTGTAATATGTGCTGGGCGAATTTGGTTGTTGAAGATTTAGTAGTTATAAGGCCGGACCACGCCCACTTTTTAAAAAAAATTTATCCACAGGTGTTCCTTGCTGCTGGGATCCGGTTAGTTTAGTGAACAAAACTTTTGTATGCTGTAGCGACCGGTTGCAAGATATAATATATATATATATATATATATATATATATATATACCTTGTTTAGAGGGGAAATGGCAGGTAGATATACTATATTTGGTACAATTTTTGAGGAAGCATTATGGTGAAGATAACGAAACCATAAAACAATTTTAAATTACATACAATATTAATTTTACCTTAGGTTTGAATGCTGTGATCGCAATGCTCAATATTTAAAATAGTCGACAAGTAAACAAGTTTTTTAAAATATTAAAATCCGAGTTTTTTAATTAACTTGCGACAACTACGGATTTATTTTTATAAACAATTAGTTTTGGAATATATTTTTCCAATAAATGTATAATAGCTTTAGTTAAATGTTAAAACACTAGTAATTTTAAACTTTCCATTACTGTCTAGTCAAGTTAAATTAGAAAATTCCATACTCAGCTTTTTAAATTTGGTTTTTACAAATTAAACCGAGTACAGAAACTTRGAAGGTTGATGACTATCATCAAGTAAATAGCTTATCGTGTCAAAAGTTATTTCGACAACAGTAACCAAGAGAAGAAGGAGTAACAGACATTTTTAAAGCTGTTTCAAAGTATAATAAATGTAAGAGTTTACCAAATTTGTGCGGAATTATATTAATTTCGTTAAGCTCCCACTCACACTTTTTTTCTAAAGAATCATTAAAGTACATATGACTGAGTGTAAATTGATATGATGTAATCATTGAAAGCTTTCAACGAGACACATGGTAAATTTAAATTTCCCTGAAACACTCATCGAGATAGCACCATTAAGAAGAATGCTTCATATATGTATACAGATAAGTCCGATTTGGGAGATATAAAAGATAACGTTAAATAAATAAAGCAAATATTAAACAATCAAAGTACTTAAATTCAAATGAGTCAGTACCAAAAACGAGGAAAAGCATGACACACAGGCAACATCTGTCAAAGATTTAGAAACACGTTCGTATAAGCACAGTGAATTTGACAATGGCACACATTCACGGCAGTAAAGGCAGAATTAGAGGTGCATAACCATATCCACATAAAACAGCTGATTGAACCAAATTTACGGGGAACAATGTTTCAAATTAGAGGTGCGTTACCATAACAACATGCCCATAACCATAACCATAAATATCAATTGAATTTTGATTTTCGCTGTAACCATAAAAAGCTGTGTGTTGATTTTTTGACTTTCCATTTGAAATTTCGTTTGCTTTTTGTTTTGTTCGCCTCAGAATTTTGTATATATAAATCTCGGATTGTTTAACGTATTGCGATTTTTAAACAGCAATCCAAATAATAATCTATTAATCAAAATGGATGATATTAAATTAAAAAAATGTGTGCGGAATTCGCCATGCCTATATGACAAGAGTCATGCCGATTTCAAAAATCAAGAGAAAAAAAGGCGCTCTTGGAAGGAAGTCGCCAATAATTTGGAAGTTGATGGTGAGTTCAATATAAATATTATAATATTAATAATATATATTATAATATTAATAATATATATTATAATATTCAATATAAATATTATAAACATATTATTATATTTATTCAATATAAATATTATAAACAGAAAGTGTTGTTATGAAGCGTTGGGSCAACTTGAGAGAACGCTTCTCAAAAGAAATTAGAATCTCAAAAAATGCTTCAGGAAGTGGTGCATTCGTAGGAAGGCAGTGGGCGCTACTTGAAAGTTTGCAATTTTTAAGAAGTCACATTATTCCTCGTCCGTAAGTAAAATGCATTATTACCGTATCCATGTAAATAATGAGAACATTAATATTAACAGAATGCGACAAAGTGCGCCAATATTGAAACGCAGCGACGAGAACTACGACTTTATAAACATTTCGTCCGAATGTATACAAAAGATCTCTCGCCATCACCTCCAATTTCCCCAGGGCAGTTAATTCCGTCCGACCAATCAACAATAATTCTGCCCGATCAAACAACAGCCATTCCGTCCAATCAGTCAATTCCGTCTAGTCAGCCATCAGCRAATCCGTCATCAACATCGCGACAACGAAAGCGAAGAGGCAGACAGCTTGACGAGGTGGACACTGCCATCCTCGGAACAGTGAAAACTTTCCAGGAGGTATGTGAACGTAGGGCGCGCCGAGAAGAGTTTGATGCGGAGATAAGCGGTTTTGGGCGAATGATATGCTCTTCGATTTCAAAAATGAAAAAATCAAGGCAAGCATTGGTGATGCGTCAATGTACTGACATTGTAATGCAAGCGCAAATTGATGAAGAAAAAGAAAGCTTTGTGAATGTGAACTAGTCCCTCAATTATGAGAAGAGTTTTTGAAACTTTTATTACATAATACTTTTTGTTCTTTTAATCAGAACGGTAGAATTTTTGAACCTGGAGTATAAAGAATATAATCCATATAACGTTCTATATAATAATTATTTGTGTTTATTTAATTAATTTTTTGTTGTTGTTATTGTTAATCAATATGTATGAAATACATGAAATTTACATTTTCAACATTTTTTTTTTTTTTTTGAATTTAATATGTATGTTTGTAAGTGTTTTACTCTATATAGTTTTGAAATGGTACTGCACCCTTGTTCATAAAATAATTGGTGAGGTGTTCTCTGTAGTTATACGCACTGTTTCGACCCCTGCGCCCAAAAGATTGTGCTGACCGCAATGGTCCCCCACAAGATCTTAATTCGTTTCTCCATTCAGCATTTCTTCCATCTCCGTCAGTGTAATGCTCTGAGCAATACCGTCGATTCATATCGTGGAGCATTATGAAATTATGAAGTACTAAACATGCTAGTACAAATCTTTCAGCATTTTCAGGATGAAACTCCATTGTTGTTCTTAGCACTCTCCACCTCGCTGTCAAAATCCCAAACGCATTTTCAATAACGCGTCTTGCCCGATATAATTACAAATTCGTTGAGCTCTTGTTGTGTTTACATCTGRATACGGCTTCATAAGATTATTTTTTAATGGAAAGGCACAGTCTCCAACAAAGTAATACGGAAACGGGTGGGAAGATAGTGGAAGTGGAGTATCAGGTGGTAGTGGCAAACGATTTTCTAACAGATCTCCCCCAAATCTCGTTGCATGAAAAATACCTCCATCACTCTGGCTTCCGTAAGCTCCTACGCTAATGCCTGTAAAAGTGTATTTAGCATCACAGGCTGCCAACARTACAATGCTGAAAAACTTTTTATAATTATAATACATGGATCCTGAATTTGGACGGCATTTTATCGCAATATGTTTTCCGTCGATCGCACCTACACAGTTTGGCATGCTCCACATTTGCGCAAAGTCAGTCGTGATGTCTTTATACTGTTGTTGCGTGGATTCACTCAGATAAATTGGTGAAAGCATYTCCCAAATAGCCTCACATGTCTCCAGCACTATGTTTCTCACAGTGGTCTTTCCGATTTTGTAGCTCCATGCTAATTTTTTGAAAGGAATTCCGTATGCTAACTACCTAACAATCACCTAAATAATAATATAACAAATGGAGTAATAATCACATAAACTTACAGAAGTGTGAGGGACAAACGCTCTTCAGCATGGATTTGTTCCTTGAATTTACGCATTGAAGGTGCCATTAACTTCAAAAAAGTATCATACAACTTCCTATTCATTCTTGTATGGGTCAACAATTCTTGTTCATCCATATCTTTTATTTTCAGGAACGTTTTTTGATGGTATCCGTTTTGGAACCTATTAACATTAATAGGATGGACACGCCATCGCCTTGTTCGCTCAAATTGCTTTTTTTTTTAGCATATAATGCTATAATATTAAAAAATAAATTATTAACTTCTTCATCACTGCTCATTTTATTTAGTTTGTTTGGCACTTTTGAAATGAAAACAAAAATTCCGAATGAAAGATCAGCTGATTACAGTTATGGTACCAATAATCGATAATAGTAAATATCGTTACGGTTATGACAATGGTTATGGGTATGGCGATATGTTATAGCACCTCTAACCGTGCGATTCTGTACGGTGATAGAGTATCAAGTCTCTAAATTTGATAGAGAAAATTTTTGAGACTTAAGACGATTTTGCTATTCTGTAAGTGAAAGTCACAAAATCTATTACATTTAATAATTCAGAGATGCTTTTAAACTTGGATGAAAATAAATATGTCGATAACAAAAATTAAATTTTCTATAACATAGTCAAAAAAAGATAATTATCAATCAAAATAAAATTATATGTTGATTTTGTTTCATAATATTGTCGAAATTTTTGTAAAATTGATTTATTTTTAACCTTTTTGTGTTTTAGTTGCTTACAAAATATAAAAAAATTACAATCGATTAATATTAATGATGATCTCTGCTCAGTATATTCAAAATGGCAGACAAGAGTTCTTTTTGGTTTTGTGACTTGTCAACTACCAGGTCTCAAATTTGAGGCAATATTTTGAGGCTAAAGCTAGAGACTTTTTAGTCAATAGCAACTAGTCACAAATTGAGATTTTACCACAAAATGTCTCAAATAGAGATTAGAGACTGCTTACAGAATCCCGCTATAATTCTACCTTAAGCTAGCAGTTATGAATATATAATTATTCAAAGCTCTAACAAATGAAACGTTATTCTACCTACAGAAGCATTCAATAGCTTTGAGGTACCATTTGTAATAACATTTAAAAATTTAAAACAAATGAATCGGGCTTTTTACTTATATTTTGCACAAGAAATTTAAATTTGAACAAAATAATTAAATTTCAGTGAAAGGTAAAGTACGGCAGCAACGAAAAAGTGCACATCAATTGTTTGATAAGTCGTTGCTGTCTTCAAAATGTTTTATAATCTGGCTTCGAGCTACCATTTGCTGACAATGAATTRGAGCAGTTCTGTATGTTTTTAATGCTTACAGCGCAATCAGCAAATTCCGCAAAACCATGGTCCGAATCAGTTGATACGGACTATCTTATGGAAGCGCAATGTAAATGATCCACCAACACATCTTCTATCCCCCGCTTTGCGGTAGATTTCCACGGTATTTGGATTTTTCCCGTAGAAACATGTCAGCTGATTGCTCTCTCTAAACACAGGGTTACCACTCTCGATATACTGTAGTAATTCTAAAAATTGTCTTCAATATGTTTAAAATTTTTAAAAACAACCCAATGGTAACATTGCTCAAATGAAAACAAACAAATATGGCTGATTTCTACGGGCTCAACTTTTGACTTTTTTGTTTCCTGAGCTTGCAGTGCCTACACAGATCGCGACGAGCAGACGGAATTTTCCACGGGAGAGGTGAATTAGTTCTTTGAACCTGGAGAGGTTTTACCCTCCTAGAAACAGCTTGGCGTGGCGCATACTTAATGCCTGCTGCCAATGCCGTTCTCTCTCCACTCTCTCCTCGGTACGGAGCAGCTCTTGAAGAGTGTGGGATCCTACCSCTATGTATGTTTCTGGTCCCATCATCTTGGATGCTGCCGCAGCGCGTGTCAGTTCGGCGGCCTTCTCATTTCCTTCCATTYCCTTGTACCCTGGCACCCAAATTAGGTGCACCCGGTTGCACAAGGACAGGCGGTTTAGTTTTTCTATGCATTCCTCGACTAAAAGCGATTTGGTCTCATATGATAGGATCGCTTTTAGTGCCGCTTGAATATCGCTGAGAATAGCTATGCGCTGGTTGCGATAGTTGCGGCGGAGGTTGAATTCAGCGCGCTGACACATGCCAAAAACTTCAGCCTGGAAGATACTTGAAAAGCACATCATTGGTATGGAAAGCTTAGTACGCGGTCCCGCAATACCTGCCCCAATATCTTTTGGTGTTTTTGAGCCACTGAATGGTACTGTCTTCCAGCAGTCTTTCCAGCGTGGAATCGCTCCACTCCGTCTTGATGCCCAGAGTAACTTTGAAATACATTTTGAGGTTTACTTTCTTTGTGGTTCCGTCCTTTGGTAGGAGGGCTAGCGGTGTGCTTTCCGCTAGTGTCTGTCTTGAGGACATTATCTTTCCTCATCCGCAGCCTTCTGCTGACATTACCAGCATGGTGTGTTTTGCTGCTTGTTTTATCACCTGATGCAGCGGTGTGAGCTCCAGTATGACTTCCAGTGCCATCGCAGTGCATGTGCGCATTRCCCCTRAAGCACAGACACAGGCAAGCCTTTGCAGCTTTGACAGTCTCCGGATCACTGAAGACTGCACTGCTTTGGCGGGTTTAGCCTGCTACAATATCCAGAACGAAGTTGCGCAAGGGTCACTCGCGTTTCTCGCGGCAACTCAAGCTCTTCGTCTGCTATGGGTGGTGGTTTGACTCCTAKTACGCCATTAACGGCAAGGGAGTCGGTGAAGGTGTTGATGGCTCCACTGTGAATGGCGGTCAGTGCCTGTCGAAAGTCTGTTGCGTCCGAGGTCCTGTCAGCGTATTGTACGATGTCGTCGACGTGGTYAAGGAATGACCTCTTGATGCTCCTAGGAGGCGGTTCCGCTCCAAGCAGATACCTACAAGGATGATTTCTACGAAAACATCTTAGCAGAAACAGCTTGGAGAGGAGTTCATTATGCTCCTTAACTGGGAGCATAAGCGTCTCACTATGTTGGTGTTCGATGGCAGACATCAAGAGGCATCCCGTTGTGGTCCGGAGTGCTGTATTCTGGCAGGTCTAGAGTTTCCTCATCTGCGTGCCACTGCATCCAGGCGAACATATGGGTGCTGCGTAGTTAAGGACGCAGGATTTTGRGGATTTTGTTGTAGCTCTGTACTTTGGCGATAATCGCGGTCGTATGGGGAGAGAAAGTGCAGACTGTCGAAGGTGACACCTAAAATCTTAGGGTTATTGACAGTAGGAATTTTGACGCCTTCGACTGCAATATTAAGTTCCAGTCTATACTCCTTCGTCCAGTTCGTGAATATGGTCGCTGTGGTTTGGTGGGGGAAASTTGGAGGTCGTGCAGTGAGGAAACGAGAAAGGTCGGTGAAGAAGTTGTTTTCCTTCGAACACATGCCATCGATTCCATTGCCCGACGTCAATATCGTACAA